ACTGGATCTTCCCAGATGGGCTGGGCAAGGGCTGCCCCCCCTGTGAGTCCCTGCTGCTGAACTGAGCCACGCCTGCACATGGCCAGCTGTAGTGGGATTTGAGGCACAGTGGCAGCTGTCTCTGCCCTCGTAGAAATGGGGAGGGAGACCCCCCCGCACTCCTGGAGGAGCCTCCTGGGCTCCAATCACCCGACTGGGCTGGGAACCCACTCCTGCTCCTGGCTGGGCCACATGGTTAGTTGCTCACCACAGGGGCCTTGATCTGGCCCCCTTCCCTTCCCCAAAGATTGACTGGCTGGGGGTGGTGGGTGTGTGCATGCGTGTGTATATGCATGTGTGCCCAGCTCTCCCCCAGCCCAGGATCAACCCAAAGAGGCTCTGGGATCGACCTGTCGATCAGGATCTGTGGGTTGGTGACCACTGGCATAACCTGAGGCTCTGTGCCACAGGTGCTTGAGCCAGTGCTAAAGCCTACTTCCTCATTAGTTTTTTGGAACATCTGGCTCTGGTACATAGGTGGTTGAGACACCTCCACTTTTGCTGCACCCAAGGAGATGTAATTATTTAATTAAATTCTGCCTTTAAAAATTCACTAGCAAAGAGATCAAATCGGGTCCCAAATTACAGGTACTGGTATTATACCTGATTGTAATTTTTTGTTTTTAGTACTTCATGGTGTCCTAGACCATTAACTGACCCATACCTTTTAATAATATATTTTCATAGCATTTCTGGTCATCTCTGCAATGTCTTTCAGTCCTAAAACTGCTTCATGTTGTATCAGTCACTGGACATTTTTTTTTTTTTAATTGCTTTATCTTTCTTTAGAAACGTTTTAATTTTGACACACTAAAAGGGTGAGCCAGATCTTCAGATGTTTTAAATTGGTATAGTTTTATTGAAGGACCTGTCCAATAGAGCTTAATCAAGGTATATCCAATGAAATAATATATTAAAGAATATTCCAAACTAAATTTAGTATATGGGGCTGGAGGGTAACTGCCTTTTATTTCTTTATTTTTTCTATTGCACCTCTTGGGATAATGGTACTGCTTAGTAATAACTTAAAATAATGAGTATGTGTGAGGACGGTAGTTTTATAGAAGGCCACTTATGACCCACACCAAACACATCAATAATATTAAAAATCACAGTTTAGATGATTGAGATAAAAATCTTTTTAAATTTGAAGGAATCTTACAAATATCAAATAAAAATGGTTATAATTGCTCTGTTTAGGCCGCAGCAGCAGTTAAAGTCTATGTAAGTGAGGTCCCTTGAGAGAGATGACGGAAGTTTTAAAACGCTTATTCCAATTTGTTTAGTTGTTATGCTGATTTTGGTCCAAACCCTGGTGATGTCAAGAATAGCCCATTAACTTTCTTGGGCTTTAGATAAGGCCCTTTTCTGTTAATCCACTTTATGTAGGGTAAATAAGTAGCGGAACTTCATTGATTTCTAATGTGGACATGTATCAAGCAAAACTCTTTACTTTTGAACAGAATGTGAATGTTTTTTGCAGCAGGATATGGAAATAATATAAAGTGATTCACACTTTGCTATGGGAAAGGCTATCCTTGATCTGTAGTGGCTTGTGATGGATGAGGGAATATAAGTGTAGTCAGTTGTTCACTACAGCGTATTGTAGGGGTGGACAGTTATTTTGGGCAGAGGGCTGCTTACCAAGCTGTGGCAAGCTGTCGAGGGCTGCCTGGGTAGCCCCACCTCTTGACAGGTGGCCTGCCCCCTGGTCACCATGTTGGGACCAATGTCTCGGGCCCAGAGCAGGGTGCAGGCTGGCAGGGGTCTGTTGAGTTGGGCTGGGCTGCACCAGCAGAGAGAGCAGGGAGCTGGCCCAGCTCCATAGAGCCTCTGCCAGCTGGGACCCTATACTCCTGCTGGCCCTGGCCCTGGGACACGAGTGCAGGCCCTGCTCTTGCACCCACTCACTCCCAGTGCTCCCCCCAGCCCTGTGGTACAGGTGGGGGTCAGCATGCAGCCCTGACCCCCTGTTTGTGGGAAGGGAAGGAGCTGGTGCTGAGCACAGGGAAAAACAGCTCGTCTCCCACCCTGTGGCCCGTGCTCCCTGCTGCAGCCATTCACAGCCTATGCGGGGCTGTCTTGAGCAGGGCAGCCCCAGGTGGGTGGCAAGTGGCTGCAGCATGGGGCGCCAGCCATGGGGCGGAGGAGGAGCCACTTTTCCCTGGCCGGGCTCAGCACCAGCTTGTAACCTGCCCCCACTGCCAGCCTGGGCCCTGTGTGGCTCTGGGTTCGTCCGTCAAGGCTGTGTGCAGCAGCAGCAGCTCTGGACCCCCTGCTTGCCACACCGGGCACTGTTTGCTGCTGCTGCCCACCCGGAGCTCATGCGCTGGGCAGCAGCAGCAAACACGGCCCAGTGTGGCAAGCAGGGGAGTTGCAGCTGCTGCTGCCATGTGCAGCCCCGACGGGCGAGCCCAGAGTTGGTGCAGGGCCCAGGCTGGTTGCATGGGTGGGTTACAATCTGGTGCTGAGCAAGCGGGGGGAAAAGCGGTCCCTCCCCCGCCCCATGGCCAGTGCCCGATGCTGCAGCCACTCACAGCCCATGTGGGGTTGCCTGTGTGTGCTCAAGACAGCCCTGTGCAGGCTGCGAGCAGCTGCAGCAGGGAGCACAGGGCGGGTGAGGGGCTGCTTTTCCCCTGCGCTCAGCACCAGCTGCTTCCCCCCCCCCGACCTGCCTGAGGTTCTGGCGTGGGGCAGTCACGAAGTCCCAGGCCAGAAGCCCCTGCTGGGACTTCTGGCTGGTTGGGGGGGCGGGGCTGGGTAGGCCCTGCTGTTGAAGGAGCCCTCCAGGGCTTCCCTTGGGTCCTACTGCCCTTGGGTCCTCTCATCTTTGACAGGAACCAAGGACAGATGCATTTTAATTTTCTAAATTTTTTTTTTTAGGGGCTTTGCGGGCCGGATATGGCTCGCAGGATGTATTTTGCCCACCCCTGGTGAAATGGGTGCTTCCCATCCAGAGATGGGCCAGAGGGCTGCTTAACTTCACTCTCTCACTCCCTGCAGCTGGGCTGGGGCTGGCACAAGAGCAGCAGTAGGAGCTTCAACCTACCTGGGGCCACACCCACACTCCCTGCAGCCCACCTGGGGCTCCCGCCTGACTGGAGCCAGCACCTGCTGGTGGCATCCACAACTAGGTGGGGAGAGATGGCACTAGACTGCCAGGTGGGTGAGACAGGACATCATGGAGACCTGTGGGAAGGCTCCATCCCCCACAGGCAAAGGCTGTCCTCTGGTGCTGCAGGGGAGGCTGGGCAGGAGCAGCCCTGCCCATCTACCTGGCACTGCACAGTGGGTAGGTGCTGGGGCCCAAGTGCAGTTTGTCCAGGGCCTGCTACACAGTGCCAGGCCAGCAGGCAGGGCTGATTCCACCCAGCGTCTCCCGTGGTGTCTGGAAGATGCAGTCTGGTCCCACAGGCCTGGGACACTGCGCACCAGCAGAGGCCAGGGCCTGAGCACAGCTTACCCAGGGCCTGCGTGGCTGCATTGCATCTCCCAGGCATTATGCGGGATACTGGGCATAAACAGCAGCTCAGGCCCCAGCCTCTGCTGGTGTTGTGCAGTGCTGGGTGAGCAGGCAGGGCTGTTTCTGCTCAGGCGTCTCCAGTTGGGCCGAACTGCATCTCCCAGGCCACTACACAGTGTCAGGGAGGTGGGTGGGGCTTCTTCTGTCCAGAGTCCCCTGCAGTGTGAGTAGAGGCTGAAGCGGCCACCTGCCAGCAGAGGCTTGGGCCCAAGCACAGCTCACCCAGGGCCTGTTGTGTGGTGTCGTTGCCAGCCCGTGGGCTGGATAAAATCAATTGGTGGGCTGTATTTTGTCTACCTTCAGGTTAAAGTGATTAGAATGAAGTGGGAAGCCAAGATGGTTTGTTTGTTTAAAAACAGAATTTGAGACTTGTATTGCTTTCATACAGCACAAGAAGCAGTTTTATACAAGGGGCATCCACTTTTTTTGCAAGGTTTACAGACCTTTTAGTTTTGTGGTATCTGGTCCTGGGAGCAGAATGGGATCCAACATCATGGGCAGATCTAGGATTTTGAAAAGGAGGGGGCAGATGGCATGGTTCATTATCGCATATAACATAACACATGTTTCTGTGAAGATAAAAAGAAACTAGAAGCTTTACTAATATATCCCTAAGACCTGAGCATATTATTCAGTTTAAGATAGAAGCAAAAACAAATGCAACTTTTTGGAATGTGGATTAATTTGGTATATCATATATTATGTATAAAACACAACCAACTCAGCAAAAATAATAAAAATGTATTGTTCCTTTAGTTCCATTGTCATTAGATTTTGTTATAGGAATCTGAAAGAGATGTATATTTAATTCTAATCTTCTTGTGCATCTTGACGGTGCATCTGGTGTTTCACTGAAAGTTATTTCCTCACTTGATTTAATGTTCTAGCCAGGGTTAAAAAAGTGCAGGGCTGTGGAATAGGAGTTACATGAAGAGGAGCAGCTAACAGAATTGCAAAAGAAAGTGTAACTTGATTACGGAAAACATTCAGACCATTAAAAAAGAAGACTGTGTCCTTAACATCTGTGGAAGGAAGAGTTTAGATGGAATCGGGTAGACTATAATGAACCATGAAGTCAACTGACTCCATCACTGTGACCTGAATAGAAATGTTGGTGTCACTATCCAGCGGTTGGTTTTAAATTTTGGGTGGACCAGAAATTAGTGGAGGGTGTGACTGCATCCCTCTGAGTCCTCACCTGTCCAGCATATTAGCCTGCAGGCCTTGGGTAATGTGTTGGGTTAGGAATACTTCTGAAGTCCCATCCAGTCCTTTTTGGTTTAAAGCTGTGGTTCTTAACCTTTTTAAGTGTTAGACATTTATCAGAATTTGACCTTTGTCCACTGCATATGTGAACTGGAAGAAAGTTAGTTCAAGTTAGGGACATTTTTAAGAAGATCAAGGCAAATAGATGCATAGATTCATAGATGCCAAGGTCAGAAGGGACCTCAACAGATCATCAAGTCTGACCCCCTGCTTAGGCAGGAATGAGTGCTGGGGACAGATGACCCCAGCCAGATGCCTATCCAGCCTTCTTTTAAAGATCCCCAAGGTAGGGGAGAGCACCACCTCCCTTGGAAGCCTATTCCCATACGTACATGGGATAATCATTAGCAGCTTAGGCCTTTGTACAGAGACACTAGATAAATTATAATGGTATACACTCTACAGCAGTGGTCTCCATCCCTTTTAAGTAGGAGATCACCTTTTGGTATTTAAAAGCAACCCAAGATCTACTGTGTGCTGCTGCCACCCCCCCCTCCCCTCCCCTCCCCTCCCCCCAGCAGGTAAGTCTGTGGGGAGGAAAAATTATTTGGGGGTGTGCTTCCCCAGCTGGTATGTCCCACCCAGCCGAGGCCCCACTCCACTTACCCCTGTTCCTGCCTCTATGGCACTGTCCGTCACTGCAGGGGACTTGATCTC